AAAGCTTATGCTCCAATACATTTGTTAGTCTATAAGGTGCCACAGGACTCTGTTGCTTTTCCCATAAGACCTTACCTATCAGTTCCCTGTGTTTGTTAAAGTGTGTTTCTTGAAATACATTGTCCTTATTCTGCTGCTCTCGCTCCTTCCTTGCCTTAGAATCATGAAATCTATCATCACTTTCACCCAAATTGCTTTCCACCTTTAGATTCTCAACCAATTCCTCCCTGTTGGTCAGAATCAAGTTTAAAATGGCTGCCCCAGGTTACTTCCTCCTCTTTCTGAAACAATACCTTGTCCCTAGTACATTCCGAGAACTTATTGGAAACGTATTTTGCCATATTACTTTTTCTGCTGATGTCTGGATAAAGTCTCCTGTTACTGTTGTTTGTATATGTTATACATACAGAGTTTCTTTTGGGTTTCAGGCTATTCCTGCTCTGGAGTTTGCTTTCAAAAATGAACGCATCACTCTGGCAGTTGTGGGCGCTGTCATCAATCCTCCTATGGTGCCAAAAGGGAGTATCTGTAAAGAGCTGAAAGTGTACCCAGCAGAATGTAGAGGACGCAGAAGCACCTATCGTGGGAAACTGACCGTAAGTAGTAATGGTTAGAATAGTACTTTCAGGGAATAAAAACTACACTTTTCCACTGACTGGTATGTGCTATATTTGCTTATAAACCATTAGCTTGTAAATAAATACCTTTTCCCACATGTTCTCCGGCTGTTCTATGGATCACCAGCAGTACTTCGAATGAAACATTTTGGGAACCATACTGTGGGGAACTGGGATGTTAGTAGAGGAGGTACATCCATGAGAAGATCTTTCTTTTACAAAATGGCCTCCAGAATGAAAAAAGTTGGAGGACCATTGCCTTATGCCACCAGAAAGTCATGAGTCTCAGCTTTGCAATGATGTCTGGCATTTGTTTCTACACCTGAAAACACCAGAGATATTGATAGCTATTAAAGAAATATTTGTGTATGTCACCATTCAGGGCAACTGTACCCGTATTCCCCCTTCACTGTCCCTCAAGGGCACCCACCCTAGGCTCTTGGCTCTTCACCCATCACCTGTCTTTGGCAGAGACCCATGTCACTCTCCCTCCTGACCCGGGTTTTTCCAGGCTGCACAGATGCTTGTCTACCCTGTTATATCTCAGCAAGCCAGACCACCTAAATAGGTCAGTGTCTGCACTTTGCTATGAACAGCATAATCGCTGCTAAAAAACAAAAACCTGCTCTTATAAGTTACCACACAGATCTTGGTAAGCAAGCACATTTAAGGTAAAAACGTATTAAAAACAATAAAAGAACCTATGAACACCCCATGAGTAGTTCAGTCTTTCCTTTATACATCTTGGACCTTTGATCTTGGCCTCATGTAACAGGTGATCTGTAGACAGTGGCCCCCTTTTCAGGGTGTAGCTTCAAAAGACTGGGTTTTTGCATAACCGGAGGTGGGGAATTTGTATTCACCTCCTCCCAGATATTTCCCAGGAAAAACACTTAACACTTCTTGTTTCAAAAGTCTATTATTGTCTGGCACAATGATCAGTATAGTCCTTTGAAACCCGAGGCCTCACATCTCCTCCCTCAAGAGGTAACATTCAATCCCAGCCCACAATAATACATAACCCGTTCATTTAATACAATTGAACCCAAAGATACTTAAATTTAGTTCAGTAAGATTTTCCCAAAGATATTGTAGCAAGTTGCCATATCTGTCACAGTATATGTTTAGTCATAGGTGTGCGTGGTTCTTTGCAGAGAGAATGAAGATGCTGTCCTTAACCCTAGAGTTTGCAATTTAGGTTGGGTGTGATACATAGGACATATCAGACAAGGAGAAAGTGGGGAGACTTGCACAAGATAAGACTGAGTTTGTTTTTGTAGAGTGCATCGGCTTCCCTTTCTCTGGATTTTTTTTTTTTTTATTATTAAATTAACGTTTAGGTTGATGTGGGACTTTGGGCTATTGTTGGAGATGTGTACAGCAGTACTCCCTAGAGAGCAATATCACACCTCTCTCTCCCAGTAGCCACATTGGAAAGAGCCCTCCGTGCTGTATGAGGAGAGCCATATTAGACCCTGAAACAACTTTCTTGCTTCTGCTCTCCCCCATTTCAGTTCCCATGTATATACAGAGATTGCTGACTTGAGAACATTCAGACACAGCAAAATCTGTATCTCATGAAAGACTGAAATCCCAGCTTTCAAATGGCACAAAATGTTAACTTTTAATTAATGGTTCATAAAATATTACTTACTAATATGATATCTGAATTGAAATTGAGGAGCGGGGGATGTGTTTTTTAAAAGGTGACATCTTGCAACCTAGAAACATTTAGTGGACCAGGAAGAAATTCTAAGCACTAATTCAGGACCAGTGACCAAAAGAGAATCATTAGCTTCCTGTTTTTTTAATCTATAAGGCAGTTTAGGAACATCAGTTAACTAACCCTGACAATGCCGTTTGAGGCAGGAGTAGATACTGTTCCTTTCTTACAGATAGAGATGTTATGACTTGCCCAAAAATACAATACAGAGTCAGTGACTTCGACCATGAGTTCCTGGTTCCCAGTCCTTTGCTGAGACTACTAAACCATGCACTTTTCTAACACTTCGTGAGATCATCTGTACTTCATAAACTCCTTGTGCTTAAGAAGATTAAGTGTCAGATTAACTTACATTAATTTTTGACCCTGAACTACCTATATCAACAGAATAGATAAATCTAATAACAATTTTTGTCTTGTCTGGTTGCTCTAAATTCATTCCATCACCCCTCTGCTGAATTCCACTGTGATCATTTTTTTGATTTTCTCTGGTTTTGTAGCCTGTCTGAGTAATTGCAGTTAGACAGATTTCCAGATGTGTGTATATTTAAGGGAAGAAAAGTATTTATCTTTTCCCCTTACTGAAATCTGAGATTTTTTCCTCCAATTTATTGGTATGCTTTAGCTCCAATTCATTACAGGAACAGGAATTCCATTATGACTTCAGCAGCAGTAAGAGACTTGAACAGGCAATCTGATTTTCCTGGGAGAGGGAGCCATAGCATTAATACAAAATAATTCTTCTTGGGTTTTTTTGTGAAACTGTTGTGAAGTTTTACATAATTAACATTGCATACAGATTAAAAATACCAGCCCACCGATGCTATGAAGTCTATTATTCTGCCTCCTGCCAGGCTATAAACATTATAAGCACTAATACTTTGGGGGTTTGTAAATAACAGTAGGACCTTCCTAAGTTGTTATGTAGGGAAAAAAAGTATTTTAATTCCACCATTGTAAGAGTTTTGTTCATCCTTGCATAACTTTTGTAATTTTGTTTAAACTTTGCAAAGAAAAACAACCCCAGAGCCATAATCCTCACTTCATGCAGACAAAACATGGGAAATTTTTATTCACATTTATAAATGAACAAAAATGGAATTATAAAGAAAGTCCCAACATAACCTGAACTATAGTAGAGTGACTATGCATCCACTATAATATATAATTTGTATGTCTTTATTCTTATAGTTTATATATAATGCATTATAACTAATTACTGTTGTTTTCTTTGCAGACAGTATAATTTTTTTTGCTATTTATGGTTCTGTATTGAACATACAATGTTGTAATGTAGCTCATTCTCTAAAGACAGCTAGCTATATTTTATCATTATCTGTGTTATTTTAACTTTCCTAATAATTCGATGTATTGTTTCTCTATAGGCTGACATCAGCTGGTCAGTGAATGGCATTCCTAAAGGGATTATTAAACAGTCTCTGGGGTATGTTCCAATCATGGTGAAATCTAAACTTTGCAATCTGCATAGTCTTCCTCCCAGAGCTCTGATTGAACACCATGAAGAAGAGGAGGTAACAGTGGATTTTGGTGGGGCAGGAATATCTTCTTTACCATGTGGCAAGGGAAGTGGGTTTTACATTAGCTTGAAGGATTTTAGCATATCTATTTAGAAGCACAATCTGGCATATTTTCTGATTTTACACCATTCATAGATTCTGTGTAGTTTCTCTGGGGTCAGAAGTCTCAGACCTCAAGGTGGCTTCAGGTTATTTGCCCTTTGGGATACCTATAGCCCTCATCTTGAGAAGGTAAAAGCTCATGGAGTATCTCAGGTTCATGCAGGCAGTGACCATTACTGGTACTAGATGTTACTTTCCAGATGTGCAGCTGCCTCCGGAAAACTATCCTTCCCCTCCTCTGGAGGCACGCAGGGCTGCTTCCCTAGCTGCCAGCTACTGCTAAGCAGTGGTACTGGGGGCCCTGGCTGATGGTGAGACTCTTACAGTAGGGCTCTTTGGAGGTGATACATATCCCCTTCATAACCATAGACTTTACTTCTCCATTACTTTTGGGTTCCCTTTTGCTGTTGTGGCTTTTTTATCTGCTCTGTCTGATAAATTGAATATGTGGATACAGAATCCTATAGTGCTGTCATTTTTCATTAATAGTGTAATATTTCTTTTCAGTTTACAATCAAAGTAAATAACTAAATGGATGATCAATTAGTCTGTTTGCAGTCCGTGTAATCTACAATGATACCCTGTTATTTCCAGGCCCAGAGCCACGTATCATGCATCTTTATAATTCACTTTGATTGTACATTCATTGTAATTTGAACAAACATGTAAAGGTGAAGAGAATTTTCTCTGGAATTAATTTTTATATTGGATGTTAGCGTCACGCACATGCTAAATTGCAAAGCCATGCAATAAATGTGCATGTATCGTGCATATCTGGCCACTTCTCCTGTACTTTGCACAGTCATGCATCTCACCTGAGGCTTTGTCTAATATTTCAGATGGCTTCAAAGAGTTGCCATTTTAAAAAAAATCAGTTGGACACACAATCATGTTCTTTTCTCTAAATGTGGAATAGGGCTTTTCTTCCTCCCAGTTTGCTACCCAGAGACCTTGTGTGGGGAAAGGGAGTATTCCGTTCAGGGGAAAGTTTTAAATCCAATATTTTATATCCCTCAGAACAGAAACTTTACTCTTGGAAAGGGTAGCTTCTTAGTAGATAGTACTTGGTAGTAGCTCTGAAAGGGCCCAAGATATGGTATTTTAAAATTGTGATCTTTCCATGTATACTAAAGTAGTTATAGGTCATTTTAGAGGTGTCTTCTCATTTTCTCTGCATCCTCTACAGTTGGACTTAGTGTAACTAGTGCATCTGGCTTTACAGGTGGACGGATACAAGAAATAGTCCCAATAATTCTTTTAAACACCACTAAAATAGTTATTTTTGTAAAATACATGGAATATACAGAGCTTATAATAGTATGACAGGTTTATTGGCACTTGTTTGGGATGACCTCCGAAATGTGCTCTTACCTGTTATGTGTGAGTAATGCATGCATCCCAGGTGCATGCCAATACAGCTTGCCATGTATTCCACACATATAAAAAAGTTGGTGTGTATTTTACAGTCCAATAAGAGCTAATTTTGTCTCACTTCCATTTTGTTTCTTGTATAACAAGTACTCTGTACTCAGATCTTTGAACTTTGGTGTATTAATTTTTAAAGCACTTTCTCTCTTGTCAGGAAATGGGAGGCTATTTTATAGTTAACGGTATAGAAAAAGTTATCAGAATGCTGATTATGCCTAGACGAAACTTTCCCATTGCAATGATAAGACCCAAATGGAAAAGCCGAGGCCCTGGTTACACACAGTATGGTAAGTGTAGTGATTTTGTTAGGGGCATCACCTTAGTAAGACAGTCGCTTGAGAATAAACAAAAGAAAGAGCAGGTGACTTATTGTATTTAGTTATTGCTTTCTATTTTGTTCATGCACTTGTGCTGTACCATAAACATGGCGGCCTGCTCAGATGAGGGGAAATTCTATTCCTTGAAAAGGGAGAAGCCCAGTGCTGGAAAAAGCAATTCTTTTAACGTCTGGATGAATGTTCGTACTTGTGAAAATAAAAGGCTAATTACATTATATAAGGCATAAGCTAGGTTGGTGGCTTTTGACTGTTGTAATCTGAACCATCGATATCCAGTGATACTGGATTGTATTCTGTCTGATTGTGGGTGGTCCATCTTCCATTGTGAGCAGGATGTGATGGAAACAAACCTGAAAACATCAATCCAATAGACACAGAGGTCTGTTGGTGCTGTAGGCAACACTGAATTTCCTTTCCCTGCACTAAGTTAAGGTAGTAAAGAGATTTATCCACAGTTAAAATAGAATCTGCACTACCTCCATTGTGAGGCTCAGTGTCAGAATTGGTAATGGCTCCCCTTTGAATCCTGCTTGTTGTTTATATTAAAACTCACTATCAACGCGCCCTGTTTTTAATGAATTGTGTTCTGCCTCATTAAAAATGCACTGTTTATATTTATTCACAGAACAGGTACATTTTTGACAATGAGCTTGAAGCTACTTGGTCAGACACACAAATACAGTCCTTGCCCCAGTGACTGTAGGATCTAGAAGGATGGTGGTTCAGGATCTGTAGTTTGTTTTCCTACGTTCAGTGTGTCTGAACTCTTTTGCCATGCTGCTACATCTAGTAATAAAAGAGTAGTTTAGTCACCACGGGCCCGATTCTGCACTGCCTTACACATTGTAGAGTCATGTACATTGGACAGTGAGTATAAAATGATACCAGATCACAACAGTAGCATTTTGCACCCATTTTGCACTAGTGTAAAAGGTTATGGCCTGATTCAGCATGTGTTTAATTTTAAGATCGTGAATAGCCTGTGAAATCAGTGGGACTACTCCTGCTGAAATACCTTGCAAATCAGACCTAAAGTAGTGGAAGGCAGTGGAGAATCAGGCCCTAGTTTTGATTAATCCTTGATCTCTCTCTTGAGACTGCCAGCAAGAGGGCCAGCTATGATGTCAATACCCATCCTGTAGGAACTGAAGTGAGACCTCTGATTCATTTCAAGCAGAATACTGAAAATCAGCCTGTGGTAATGACTCGCATTAGCAATCGGGTTTGCATTTCTAAACAGTTATCTACAAGTGTGACATACTGTCTCAGTACGATACCTTTGAGCCAAACAGTGCCCCCACCCAAGGAAATCTAAACTGTATCCGGAGCAATTAAAGACCATGCTTGTTTTGTAGTCCCGATAGAATGCAGTCAATAGTTTCTATGTTGTATAAGTGAATCTTTGCTTTTGTTCATTTTGGCAGGTATATCGATGCACTGTGTTAGGGATGAGCACACTGCTATAAACATGAACCTTCACTACCTGGAAAATGGTACGGTGATGCTGAACTTCATTTTTCAGAAAGAGTTGTTCTTCCTCCCACTGGGATTTGCACTGAAGGTAACCCATAATCTAGTCTTAGTTTTTTTGGTGAATGAAAGGTTGATTGAAGAATTGCTGTGTAAAGTGTAGCAGCCTGTTTCTCGCTTGGAAAAAGGACTTATTCAATAATTAATTCCACATGAAGCATTTCATTAAATGGTACTTGTCATCTTGACTATCAAGGATTGTAGTCCAAACTAGACCTGCCTATGTCGGTAGTATAATATTCAGGGCTGAAGTGTGAGAAGGTGTACACAGTTGAAGAAGGGGAAATAAGGTTTTGTATAAAAGTTTCTTGGCTTTTTGCTATAAGACAGTACTGATGAGACGTTTTTAAAAGGTAATGGTGGGGAGTTTTCCATCTGAAGTCAAGGATAAAGCTGTTTTAAAACAAAAACAATTGTGCAGAATAAATCCTCAAGCACAATATTGGCAGAATGTTTTTAGTCCGTATCCCAGTTATTGGCAGTATCGTTCACTGAAAGACTTTGGGAGCACATGAATCTTAGTTCTAATCAGATAAGTCACGTCATCCCAATTGAAAATCAAGCAAAATAGTATAAAAACAAAATGCTGCTTCTGTACAGAACTTTCCTGGATAAGCAATGTTAGAAATGGTTGCAAACCTTTTTTTCAAAAGTGATTGTGAAAGCACCAACGTGTTCAGTGTTGTACAGGCCACAAAGGAAGTCAGCCCTTTGCTGCATCAGGCTTAAAAAGGCCCGATCCTGTAAACCTCCGTAGGTGTAATACTTATTACCATGACCTGTCCTGTTGCTCACCAGTCTTACAGAAGGGTCCTTCGAGCCTTTGGGATTTTGCTGTCTTTCAAGTCTTCCTTCCTAGTGGTTACCTTTGCTGCCAGGAGGATCTCAGAGATACAGACACCGATGCACTGTCTTCCGTGAGAACTGTCTGCTCGTTTTCCTCCCTAGGTCACAGAGACATTTGGGGAAGAGGAGGCTACACATGTTGAGTTTGAGAGCTGCTAGTTGTTACGTAGACAGGACCAGTTTCTTAGGAAATCTTATGGTGGTGAACTTTAGACAAAAAGTCCAAAGGCCCTGTCATCCTGTCTCAAAGGCATTTCGAATGAATTAGAGACTGTGCATCCAAACCTGATTTTACCTACAGGACAGGGAGGTTGATGCTTGAGCTCTTAATTCTGTGGGATTGCAACAGCACAAGATACCCCTACTCAGCAGCAGCTAATCCATTCATTCTGTGCTGCTAGTCAAATAACTCTGTGTAACTCTAGTGTTGTTTTGAAGTGTGGTTGCTCTCACTTGAGCTGGGCTAACTCCAGTGTGCTAACTCGAGCTAACTGGTGCAGTGAAGACAAGCCCAGTGTCTCTGTGGAGGCAATGAGTGTATCTAGAGCGCATGAGTTACGGAAGGCAAGCAACCATTGGATGATGAACTTTCATAAAAGCTCATAACTATAGAATGCAATTTAGTAAGCACAATGCATTAATTTTGCTAAGCAAGGCAGTAAAAGTTTTCAAAATAGCTGTCTCTAGACAGAGTAGAATGATTTATTGTACCTATTTAAAGCACAATGTAATTCCTCATTTAACGTTACATTTTTTCAGGAACATAACTACAACTTTAAGTGAAACAATGTTAAATTAATCCAATTTTCCCATAAGATTTAATGTAAATACGGGGGGTTAGGTTCCAAGGACATTTTTTGAGGGCAGACAAAAGGCATTATACTGTATACTGTACTGTACTGTGGTTGGGAAGTGCCCCTGGCTTACCCCACACCGGCACAGCCCGCTGCAGGCAAGGACGCTAGGAAGTATCTTCGCAGCAGCAGCGGCAGCTTCCCCGGAGAAGAACAGGCGCCGACTTTGCTGGGGGATGCTCCAGGACCGCCTCTTCCCATCCCCGCTCCACTCCAGGCCCACCTCTTCCCACCCCCACTCCACCTCCTCTCTGGAGCACACCACATCCCCACTCCTTCCCCCCCCCATGCCCCCAGAAAGTCCTAAGCGCTGCCAAACAGCTGTTTGGCGGTGGGGGAAGCACTGGGGGCGGGGGGGGCGGAGAAGAGGAAGTTGTGCAATGCTCCCTTGTAAAGTCGCTGCTCTTCCACAGAATCTTACAAGCAGTGGACAGAGCAGGCAGCCAAATGAGGTTATAAGGGAGCATTGCACAACTTTAAACGAGCCTGTTCCCTAATGGAGCAGGGACGTAACTTTGAAACAGCGTTAAGCGGGAGGACGTTAAGTGGGGAGTTACTGTAATAGTAAAGACTTGGCTTCAATTAACTATTTTCATCTTTCTTTTCCTGAAAAGAAAGCACAGTCTCTCTGGTAGTAATGCCAGACTGCTTTTGTAATCTAGCTGATGTATTTGATTTATCAACCCACCGGGATTGTCCATTGTCAGACAACATGCACATGCTTTGTTGAAATGGCAGCTTAGTTTGACAGATTACATTTCTTCACAGGCTTTATTTTTGTTTTAGTAAACAAGTGAAAGTTATGTCTGATTTTCCTAGTTATAAAACCCCCGTCTGTGTGAGCAGTGTTGTTTAAATTCCTACAGCGATGGAAGGGCTTTTGCCATCCGTGTAGTTAAAGCACCTCTCGCGATGGATGAATTCTTCCGTTGATCTAGCTGCGTCTCTTCAGGGACTAGGTCAATCTAACTACGCCGCACAGGGTGTGAAATTTTTCACAGCCCTGTGGAACATAGTTACATCGATCTAATTTTTAAGCCATCCATTCCATTATAAAAACCTCTTGTTTTCAATTTACTTAAATGTCAATAATTAGTGATTTGAGACAAATTGTGAATGAAATTTATATTGTAAGCAAGGTCAGCAAGGTTATATATTTTTTATATAAATATAAAAAAATCTTATTTAAATGAAGAAAAACTAAATTAATTTTGATTCATCGTTGTCTGTATTAACCAGCATTTGCTTTTCCAGGGGCTTCGTTAGGGGTATTTGTGGTGCTCATAAGGTTGTGTATACCCAGGGTCTTTCTCCACAGCTAACTGAACCTCAGAAAACTGTTTTCATCTTAGGGGAAGGGTATTAGAAGGACAGAAGAGCATAAACCAGCATAAGTGACTGGAGTGAGCGGGTCTCATTCTATAATTTAATTAGACATGGTGATTTATTACTCCTGACTTTTCTTTGTTCTCTGATCTGGTGCCTTTCTCTCCTCCAGGCACTAGTTGGTTTCTCAGATTACCAGATTTTTCAGGAGTTGATCAAAGGAAGAGAAGACAACTCCTTCTATAAGAACTGCATCTCTCAGATGCTGAGAATGGTAATGGAGGAGGGCTGTGCCACGCAGAAGCAGGTCCTTAACTACATTGGGAAATGCTTCCGAGTGAAACTCAACCTTCCTGAGTGGTACCCAAATGAGCAAGCTGCAGAATTCCTTTTGGAGTACGTATTCATGTAGCAATATATAACTAAATGATTGAACTACAGCTGTAGTCACATTTCACTGTCTGACCTTACTGTATCATGACCAGCTTTTCAATAAGCTCAAGGACAAAAATTTAGAGAGACATCCACTCCCCCACCCCCCTCCGAATAATATTATGGGGCCAGTTTTCAGCCAGCTTCTGGAAACTTTGCATTTACCTTAATCTGTCTGCAAACACATATCCACCAGATACGTGAGCATGATTTCAGAGGATGGCTGCAGACTTGGTCCTTCGTGCATTTTGCCATGTGACGTTGTAGTGGGTTTTATAAAAGAACTAAATATCCTCAATACTGAGAGAGAGATGTTAGGAAATTGAACAGTGAGCTCAGCCTTAACTCTGAATCTACTGTACCACAGCCTCCTTGGCATTTAACCCGTTGTTTGAAGTCCTTTGCAGCACTTGAGCACAACAGGGTGAGCGAAGTTTACCTTAAAATGTTTTTGGAGGTTATATCTTTAGGTAGAGGAGAGAAAATAAACACTTGCTCCATGGAATAACATAGGACACTGCATTCCATTCTAGTTTTAACTTCGAATATTCTTAAGGGGGGAGGAGGAAGTGGTATTAGGGAATCCCTGGTTCATAGTACAGGTGTTTTGAGTTGAGGAGCTCTTGCTTCCAGCCCTTGAAAGGAACTGATTGGAAGGTTCCAGAGTCCTTGAGATACCTGTAGTTAGAGCATGGTCAGTGCGGCAGAGACCTCAAGCCAGCCTACTGGTGACTCAAAGGGTTAAAAATGTTAAGAGTCAGAGTCATCTAGAAGGACAAGAGTCGGGAGTAAGAATCCTTCATGATGGTCTTCAGAGGATCAGAATGTCAAGGTTAAACTCTTTCTTTTTCCTTTCAAAATATCCTGGGCTGTTCGTCAATGTGGCCTAATCTGCACATTTTGACCATCAGAAAGGGCTTTCAGTTGAAGTGGGAGGTGAGACAGGAGGAAGCTGAAGGCACTAGATAGGGTGTGCACCTCGTTCGATTGGGCTTTGGTGATTATAACTTGCATATTTTGAAAGAGAAAATTTTCCTGCCAAGTTTTGGCCCAGAGAGGACCTTTATAGTTGAGTCATAAACACTTGAATACAAGGGAGTGCAGGGTGGAAACACTGATCGGGCCAATCATGGCAATACCTGATCATGGCACTTGCTTCTGGGAAAGTAAGCTTGTAGCTGATCTGCTCTGACAGGAATTTAGGAAGTCTGTACTTCGTCTTGCCCAGGTTAAGGAGTATTCAGACCAAAATTTTATAACTGAGTGCTCTGCTGGGACATGATAGGAGGTTTGATTGTGATGTTGCCTGGCAGTAACACAGTTTTAGTGAGTACATTTTCTATTTACCATTTATTCTGGGGGAGACAAAGTAGGTGAGGTTATATCTTTTATTGAACCAGCTTCTGTTGGTGGAAGGGAAAAGTTAGAAAGCTGTGTCCCTTCCACCAGCAGAAGTTGATCCAGTAAAAGATATAACCTTGCCTACCTTGTCTCTCTCCTATCCTGGGAGCAACATGGCTACGGTAACACTGAAAACATGTATTTTGAGTGCATTTTGTGTTACTGTTTAACTCTGTTCCATAGAGAATGATGCACATATATGATTGCACCACATTTTATGTGAAATCCGTGTACAAAATTTAGCCTTCGTGTGGACCTGTCTCAAAATACTCCATGGCAACATGAATAATTTTGTGCTTAAGTCAATTTAGTGCTTAAAAAGGTGTAGAATTAACATTCCAGGAGTCTCTCTTCATCCAAATAACAGGCACAGTACTGGTGGCAGCAGTGCGGGCTCACCTGCTGATGTGCCTCAGTCGTGTGCTGGAAGATTGCATCTCTAAGGATGATGAGAGGGAAGTCTCTAAATCCTTTAAGTCCATTGAAATTTCGGAAAACAGCCCAGACGTGTGGGGAAAACTGTTATGCAGCTTAACTTTTGAGTTAGTGAATAAGAGTTTGGTCAAGGGCTGTTCAGGCAGGAGCTTGGAACATAGATCCTGTTAGAGATGGAGTTAATTGGCCCCTTTTCTTCCTATTCCTACAGTCAGTGCATCTGTATCCACTTGAAAACCAAAACTGAGAAGTTCTACTTGCTTTGTCTGATGACCCGGAAGCTGTTTGCTTTTGCCAAAGAAGAGTGCATGGAGGAGAATCCAGACAGCCTTATGAATCAGGAGGTGCTTACCCCAGGGCAGCTTTACCTCATGTTCTTAAAGGTAATGCCTTCAAGTGTTTAAAGCTGTGAGTGGCAGGAGAACCGCTAGATACATAGAAAAGAGAGCAAATCTGTATCCAGCATGTGGGGTATTTGAATGACTCGTATAAGAGGAGTTTGTGAGGAGGCAGCTAGGCTCTGGTGGATCATGCCGAGGGCTGAGCTTCAAGAGATCTAGGTGTTGTTTCCAACTCTGCCCCTGGTTTGCTGTGTGACCTTGGATATGTCACTTAACCTTTCTGTGCCTGTTAGCCTGTCTGTGAAATAGGGATGATGCTCTTTGCTCATCCTCGTTTGTTAGAGCACTATAACATCTCCAGCGAGAGCGAAGTATTAGCCACTAAACACACCACACACAGGATTCTCACTCCTGAATTCGCATCTCGGCTTCCCAGCATAAAGCTGGCACCACTCCCTCAGTCAACACCTGTGCCGAATGCTGCCGGCAGACCCCGGTCTTACCCAGCTCAGGCCTACACTCTGAGGATTTCACTTTTGAGTCACTCCAGACCAACCTTGTGTCAGCTGTAGCACTGCAGGTATGTTCTTCATTTCCCAAGTGTTCAAGGAGACATCTGTAGGCAGATTTCACATCCACGTACATCACATGAGACACTCAGGCAGCACTGATGTTGGATTTGACCATTTGTACAGGACATCTTTCTACCACAAGTCCACAAGCCTGCTTCGTCCTTCTTCAAAACCATCTCTAGAAAGGAAAGCTCAGAAACCCCTAAGTATGCTAAGATGCATGGAGGCACCAGGCATCATAAGACACTGAGTAGGATGTGCTGAGTTAAGTGCTTTGAGGTGGAGTAGCTAAGAGTGTATTTGGCTGCATCAATACAGGGGAGCTGATCCAATGCACCAAAGATAACAAGGAAAAGTTTGCATCAGGGCTGCAGTAAAGTGCACCGAATGATTGGAGAGCAAATGACTGCACCAGAGCCCCGAACTGCTGCCAGTTCTGGGGAGCAAGCACCAAAGGGTGCCGTGATATCTGAACATGTTGGGAGAGTGCTTTGAGATACTGTTCGAATCGAGTGACCAAAGCACCAGTGGATGGCGTTTTGGGACAGGAGTGTCAACACTCACACTCGATTGGGCATTGGTGCCTGAGCTGAAATGCTTTCAGAAACCATAACTGTAGGAGATGCAGGTGGCAGAAGCTATGGGTGCATTTGCTCAACACTAATAATCAGTGGGGATTACAAATTAGAATAACTGTAGCTGCAAATATTCATTTTGTGTCTTTCTCTTGTTGTATAGGACGTGGTTCTCAACCAGGGGTCCGGGCCCCCTGGGGGGCCATGAGCAGGTTTCAGGGGGGCCACCAGGCAGGGCCAGCATTAGATTTGCTGGGGCCCAGGACAGAAAGCTGAAGCCCCACTGCCTGGGGCTGAAGCCAAAGCCTGAGCAACTTAGCCTCACGGGGCCCTCTGTGGCGTGGGCCCCCAGGCAATTGCCCTGCTTGCTACCCCCTAACACTGGCCCTGGCTTTTATATGCAGAAAACCAGTTTCTGTGGCACAGATGGGCCATGGAATTTTTATAGCATGTTGGGGGGGGGCTCGGAACGGAAACGGTTGAGAGCCCCTGGTATAGGAGACCTTTGTGCTATGTCTGTTCGGAGCCCTGTAGAACTGAGGCATTTGCAATACTTGTCTGTGTTCTGAAACAAAGACTATCCGTTTAACTGTTAATGAGCTCGTTCAGAAAGGAGTAGCGATGCAGGGCATCACAGCGAGGAGTAAGATTGTGATTGTGCACAAATTGTGATCGTTGGTCTCTTTTAAAAGACAAGGAAGGATGGGCTTGTCGTTAAGGCATTGGGCTGCGACTTGGGAGATCTGGGCTCCATTTCTGGCTTTGCCACTGATTTCCTGTGTGACCTTGATTTGTCATTTAATATCTCTTCACCTTGATTTCTCCATCAGTAAAATATACCTCGCACCATGCAGCTCTGATGTCAGGTTTAGTGCCCCCCTCTATCTGACACACACAGTTCATAAAATGGGTTAAACGGAAGATTCAAAGTAGTCTAGATTAGTATTTTATTTCTATAGTGCTTCTTATCTGATCTCAGAGCATTGTAGGGAGCAATTAAGTATGTGAAGAAGCGACAGCATTCTGGCAAATTTAGTAATTGTAATTTTAGAATCTTCACATGTGCTGTTGAATAACAGATGTAAATTAACGGAGATGGAATCGGATGTATGTCACCAGACTGGTGTGAGCTGGGAGCAAGATTTGCCTAGAACAGTAGTTGGTTCACTTATTCTTTAATATTTTTATGCCCTCCTTGCAATGATGATTCAGAAATAAAAAATGAATCTTGACTATCAGCATAGGAGTAAAATATCAACGGTAATTAAGGAAATCCAGTCAAAATAAAATGCATTACTTTTTGGAGCAGTTTACAGACTTAATAGGAATAAGCAAAATCGATTCAGGGTGGGGGAAATCCTCCGTTACCATAAATCATTTAGTTATCAAGGGCAGCAATGAAGTCAGGTAAGAGCCTTTTCAGACCCTTTAGGTAGGTTAGGCAAGGAGTTCTCTTGTGCTGCTGAATGCACTTGGAGACAGTCCTACAACCATACTGACATCCTTCACTTCAAGCTTAGTCTCTGGCTTCTTAGATATACCATCTTCCTTTCCAAAAAGCTTTACTTCTCAGTAATCCGTTACAGTATACCATCAAACGCTGCAGACTTTTGTATCGTCAATTCTCTCCTGAAACCCTGCTTCACCACACTTATTTGTGCACAAGATCTGACTAACAGCTTCAGCAGCAAAACTGACATTCTCCAGCAATACATGTCCTCAGTTTTTCCTACCTTTCCCTCTGTATATCTCATCCGTTTACATGCCTGTCATTCTTGGTGGCGCCTTTGATTCTCTCCCTCTTTGACAGCTCCCTGCCCTCTGACTCCTCTTCCTCTGTGTGGTCTTGCTCCCTTCACCTTAGGGGGGGAAAAATTCTGAATTCCCACCCCCCTCTCACTCTCGGTGTCTCCAGTGGGCTTCGCTCATGGTGACCTTCACTCCTATTCCTTCAACTCACACCTGGATCCCATTTTAGTTCAGTTCCTGTCCTCCTCACTCCATCAAAACTGCCCCAACAAAGGTCACAAATGCCCTTCTCCTAGCTGAATCTTTTCCCACCTATCTGTTGGTGTTCCTCAAAGTTCTGCCTTCAGGCCCCTCCTCTCTTCCTTGTGCATTCTCTTGGCAATCCCATCCATTCCCTTGTTTCAGATGTCCTTCGTGTCTTAGCCTTGCAGCTCCAGGGTGATCTTCTGACTCTTATCTACCCCCGCACTAGATTTTGTGAAGACTTGCTCTTTAATGTTACTTTCCCTTGCTTTATCCACCTGTGTGCTGCTCCTCTCCCCTTCTCCTCTCTGGTTTTCCTGCTTCTCACTTCTCCTCCAACAACTGTCCAAAATTTTACTACTGAAGTCATCTCCTCAAGGCTCCTCCTTGAATCACTGTTAGTTTACTGTGGAAAATTAAAACTCATTGTTCCTACCTTCAAGCCCCAACCTAATGTCCACAACTACGTCTTTGCTTTAATTTCTCCCTAATCCCCCTTGTGCTGCCCATAGGACTCCCCGGCCCTTGTCATACTATTCCTTCTATCCTTCATTCTGCTTTTCGCAGTTTGTTTTGTTGTCTCTTCACCTGGAATACTTACCTCCTTATTTGGCAACACAGCTGTCTGCTGCCTTTTCACCAATAATTATTGTTTTAGGCCTCTTTTTGTCCTGTCTGTTTTAGACTGTAAGCTCTTGAGAACAGATTTGTCTTACTCTGCTTTGTAAAGTACCACATACTTTTATGGAGCTATGTGAGTAATCTATTAATAATAATAATAATAATAATTAATAATTATTATTATTATTTTATTATATTATGTCTTGCCCATTTCTGGGCCTTTCCTCATTGTAATATGGAAGTATTCCTGTTCTAAAAGTTCTCAGTGTAGATCTATAAAAATATGTCACTGTAAAGCATTTATAATCCACAGTAAGAGCATGCAAGCCCCAAATATCCCCATCTGTGCTGTCAGACTCAGTGGGTAACCCATGCCTAACTAATTCTTTAGAGCACGTCTATTTGCCATAGCTTTAAAATCTGCTTTTAGCATCGTTTTTTAATAGAAGTTTGTGTTTGGAAGAACAGAACTCCCCTGCTACTGCAGTGGCTTGTGCCTTTGGAATTGAAGAAGAAAATCTAAATCCAAGGTGTTTAAAGGCTTGTGATGTGTTCTGTTGAAGGAAGCCCCACCTTCATTCCAGGGAGTGGAAACACTGGGGACTGAGGTGGGCTGTCTGTACTCAGATGGAATAGCTAGCCCTGAACCAATAAGCCGTGCTTTACTAGCTGGCTGCAGCCCTGCTCTGGCACACTTGTGGAGGAGCCAACCACCCCTTCCAGGCGTGTTTGAATGATAACATATGATGTCTTTACCTTGAATTAGCTTGGCTGTATGCAGAGGATTTCTTTTAATAAAAAGTTGCAAGCAGTGGCAAATACCTTACTCTTCCCTGTTATCAGAATAGTGAACATCTGAGCTCATTCAAGTACCAAAATTACAACCCAAACGAACCTCCAAAAGCAGTCATCTAAAATGTTTATCACGTTGTCTGAGAAGCATCTCTCTTGGTGATATTTATACGTTTCTAAAAACTTGAGCTTCAAAGTCAAATTATTCCTTTTTTGTAAGGCAGCTCTACCCTTCGCTGGTTCTCACTTCATCAGCGTGTTCAATGTCCAGTAAACCAAAAGGTCAAATGTACTTGCAATGATGACGACACATTTCGGGAGATGTTGAATTGTTGCAGAGTAATACACTTATGCTGCATATTGCATTAATCATCCACTTCACTTTTTATGGGTTTCTCCACATACTTAAGAAATTCATACCGGTAGTTGATAAATCAGGAGATGATTGCAAAACTGGTGGATTGTGCCCTGCATTTCACTGACAGTGTGCCTTTCAGGGTTGAAATGGTGTCATTAACATAATTCGGGGGAGGTGGGGATTAATCTAGAATGATAGAAATTAACAACGGGTGGTCTTAGCTAATCATCAAAAGATCATCTAGTTCATCCTTCTGTCAATGTGGGAGGGTCTGTACAGTATATTAATCAGTAACATCGCATGCTTCAGACACAGGGCTGTTTCGTGTTTTTACTTTCCTAGTTTAACACGTCTCATTTTTAAACCTTAGGAGAGGATGGAAGCTTGGTTGCTTTCTGTTAAAGTAGCCTTGGACAAAAGATCTCAGAAGACGAATATAACCATCAATTCAGAAAATATGATGAAGCTATTCAGCATGGGAATTGATGTTACAAGGCCATTTGAATATCTCCTTGCTACTGGTAACCTGCGCTCTAAAACAGGTAAAGTTTATCTTGAACTTCATTCCATTCCTGCGATACAATTTTAGCGCTTCACGGAGAGGTGCTGATGGAAATACATTTTTTTCAAGCCTCTTCTCTTAAAGTATCATTTTGTCTACTGAATATTTGCTCAAGTTGAATTCATGCAGCTCATTATGAACAAGAAGCTTTTTGACAAAAGGATTAGATTTTTCCTCAGACTTGGATCATATGTATATTAAAATATACACATTATTTATATTCAGATACAGGATTTTATAAATATCTTTACATTTAGCATTGCTAAAAGAAGCCGCATTGATTGCTTTGAAAATAATGTCCGTTCTCCTTAGAAAAGGCACAGCATGGTGTATGGAAGTGCTCGCTGCTTCTCTGTGCTCCCTCCCCTCTGAGTTAGAAACTACGGCACTTGGATAGTTTATCACCAGAGCCCATTCGATCCTTGGCCTGTGCACTGAGGCTGCAAACATAGTGTCTATTATGATACTGTTTTATGTCCACTAGAGCAGTGGTTCCCAAACTTTAACAACCTGTGAACCCCTTTCACTAAAATGTCAAGTCTCGCGAACCCCCTCCTAAAAATGAATATTTCAGGGATTTTCTCCTTTACCTGAGTATAAATTATAAAAGCAGTGATCTTGGAAATATAAAATTTGTTTTTATGACATGCTTATTACACACTATTATTAATTATTATTTATAATTATATTATTTTATTACATTATGAAAACGGCAACACTCTTCCAAGATCTCACTTCCGTAGCTTGTATCACTTTGAATAAGCCTGTTATAAGACAAGGCTCCTATGTTTCATCAAGGAGTATCAGATTTGAAACAGCATGAAGGTATTTAAGAAGCCAACTCAAAGAGTTCCTCCTAAATATGCATTCAGGTCTTAAGCAGTCCAGGCAAACAACGCACGTTACAACAAAGCTTAAACTTGTTCTTCATAATAATTTTAAAAACAATACTACCTGCCTATTTAATTTTAAAAACAGCAAAAAATATCCACTTCCCTTTCCATTTCTTATAAGGAGTCTTGAAGTTTAAATCTCCTCAGTATGATAGATATGCTTGCTTTGATCTGCTTAGCTCTTGGAAGTCCAGGGGCTCCAGGCTGCTGGCCCCGTGCTGTCCAGGGTTCCTAGGGACAGCTCTGTCCGCCATTAGGGAATTTTTTCCCAAGAACCCCCTGTAACATTTCGTGAACCCCCAGGGGTTCACGAACCCCAGTTTGGGAACCACTGCACTAGAGACTGGGCTCAGACTACAATAGGCCAGAAAATTTCCAGTGAGGTGAAAAGTCAATGAAAAATAGGGAAACAAATTGATAAAATTTTCATGGAAAAAACTTAGTTTTGCAGTCAGCTTTGAGACAGTTAACTCACTTCACATAGCGCGCCGAACAGGTGTGAGTAACTTTTGGTTGCTACCAATTTGAGCTGGATTTGACCAGTGACCTGGCGTGTAAAGGCTGTATAGCCCCCTGCCATCCACTGAACCCCTCAAATGTAGATATAGCTTAATGAACTGAGAATCTCTCCTTTGATGTCAATCTTTTAGACTTCTATGCATGAGTCTATTGAAGATGATTTATAGAATTGTATTTTGCAAATGTCCTTCATTAGTATCAGCTCACACATTAAATCTGGCTTTTGTTTTTTAAAGGTCTGGGTATGCTACAAGATTCTGGTCTGTGTGTGGTGGCAGACAAGCTGAATTTTATTCGTTACCTGTCCCATTTTCGCTGCGTACACAGAGGTGCTGCGTTTGCCAAGATGAGAACCACCACCGTGCGCAAACTGCTCCCAGAATCCTGGGGCTTCCTGTGCCCTGTGCACACCCCCGACGGAGAGCCCTGTGGGCTGATGAACCATATTACGACTGTCTGTGAAATAGTGACACAGTCAGCCTACACCTTGTCCCTGCCACCTTTGCTCTGCTCCTTAGGTAGGTTCCATTGAGTTAATAACTTAAGAAAACTTGGACCCCACAGACCTGTGTCTTCACTGGATATCATTACAACAAAAACATTTCAACATGGCTAAACCTGCATTTTGGTTCATGACAAAAATAATGTATTGCTTACACAGCGCTGACATTTTTAAAATGTTGTTTGAATAGCAATACATTTACTTGGGGGTATTGAACTAATAAAAGCTGCATACTGTAGAATGAGCAGGTTCATTTGTACAGAAAGATAAATGCACAGAAATGTCTCCAAAAAGTGTCATTATTTGCACCTTTATAAGGTCACCAATGACTATTTAGTAAAAGAACAACTCATCTAAGCATTTTATTTTTTTGTGATCATCAAACTACTTTTTATTGTTTTAAATCTGGATATAATTCAGGCAGTATCCTGGAAAAATAGCGTATACCTGATATTTAGATTCTTAATATATGTAGTGGGCAAAGCAAAATGTGTAAAGCATTTCTTATATGCTGGTCTAGAATGTTTCTAAGATCCTGAGGAGTGTTGGTGTGGATCACTACTTTCAGCATTAATGGTTTCCTTGGTTCTTTCCCAGGTGTCACTCCCGTTGATGGGACTCCAAGCCAACCCTATGCAGAGTGTTACCCAGTTACACTGGATGGCTCGTTAGTGGGCTGGGTAGAAAAAGATATGGCTCCTACGATTGCAGATACTCTCCGGCACTTTAAGGTTGCCTTGTTTGATGTGACTTGACTTAAAAGAAGCAGTTTTTTAACTTCTCCCAAATGTTTCCTTCCTTCATTTTTGTGCCTGACTGATTCATTTGGTTTTATTTGAATTTTAAGAATTGAATTTTATCATGTTCTTATTTAATTTTATATTATGATTATTTTATACCTATTTATAAGGCATTGCCACCAAAGCATTGCAGCATCAAGGTATTTGTTGGTTGTAGCAATTTAAAATGCAATTGTTTTTCTCCAGTTTTGTAGAGATTTTGATGCAAATATTTTTGTAAAAAAATATATGAAACAGTGAATTTGTGTAGCTACTTGTGTGACTAAAATTTTCATTTGGAGGGGAAAATAGGCTATTGGATGCAAAAAAATCTTCATTTATTACAAATTTTCTAACTAGCTTTTTTTCTGTGCATGTGAGAACAGGTAATGCAAGAAAAGAAAATTCCAGCTTGGACTGAGGTAGTCCTTATTCCAATGACCGGAAAACCTAGTCTGTATCCAGGATTATTCATTTTTACTACCCCTTGCAGGATGGTTCGGCCTGTGAGAAATTTGGCCTTGGGAAAGGAAGAATTGATTGGTACTCTGGAACAGGTACTGTGCATGGGTCTGTCTAACGTGTTTGTTTATTACAAAGCAGTGGCCATTAGAGAAAAGTCTTTGATACAAAAATAAGACACCTTACAAAAATATCTGTGACAGGAACAATGAAGGGGAGGTGGAAGCTGATCTTGTCAAAAAGGCTATTAAGTTTGCTTGGGTTTAGTGCGCTAGCGCAGATGAGAACTAGCATGAATATGTCTACACAAGCTGAGAATCACATCCCTAGCTCAGGGTAGAAGTAGCCATAGTTATGTTGGTTTTTGCATAGCCCTTTTTACACACTAATACACTAAGTTATCAAATAGAGCAGCTGGAGCTATGAAGGTGATTGGAGACAACTTTATTTACCTTTAAAAAGATCAATTTGATAATTAAATTGGACTTTGCTTATCTCAGGTCTTCATGAACATTGCTGTCCTTGAGGATGAAATTGTGCCTGGCGTGACCACTCACCAGGAGCTCTTTCCTCATAGCATGTTGAGTGTGGTAGCCAACTTCATTCCATTCTCTGATCACAACCAGAGTCCCAGAAACATGTACCAATGCCAGATGGGTAAGTACTGTGCTAAATATTGCCGTCAAACAATCCCCAAGTTTCCACATGCACAGGAGGAAGGAAAAGAATCAGATCCTTGACTCCTTCATTCCCCTTTCCATTGTATCCTCTTTAGCTTTGCAGGAGGGGGAGAACCTCCAACAAACCTTAGGGGGACTGTTGGTTCCCCTCACAACGTCATGGGACTTGGGAGGCTCATTAGTATCCCTTGCGAGCCTTGCAAAGGAAAGGCTTAAGAGTCCTCGTTTCTTATGTGCAGTGCTGAGCTCTCTGGAGCTGATGTTCTCCAACTTGAATTTTTGATAGGAGAAAGTTACTGTTTCAAATTATGGTCAAAGGCACAAGACAGAAATTGGGTTTCTTTCTTTCTTTCTTTCTTTTTTTCTTTTTTTTTTGCTATTAAGTGGCAAATATGTTGAGTGTGTGTGTCTGCCTGCCTGCCTGCTATATTTTCAGGGATCCTAATTCAAGAACCCATCCTCCACTTCACTTCAAAATTTGAAGAAAATGTCTACAAAGAAATTTCTTAACCCCATCAGATAGATGTGACTCATGCCTGAAAGCATGAGAGTTTATATCATTTCTAAACATTGGGGGTTTATTACTGTCGGATGAAATTGTGTATGTTCTCATTAAACTATGTAAATTCCTAATCCTTTTTGACTCCTACGAAGTTCTTGGTCTCTGTGATATCTATTGGCAATGAGTTCTACAGCTCAGTTATTCTTGCGGGGGGGGAGGGTGTGTGTGAGAGAGAGAGAGATCTATCTCCAAGGGTAGTGGCTAAGCTCAGGGGATGGCACGTGAATGGCCTGGACTTGTGCCCCACAGCTGTCCTCGAGGGACAGTTCTCGCAGTATCTAGTGGCCTTAGAGTGGTATCCTTGCTGATGGTATTAACTGCCTTTGATACCATTGACCATGAGGTGTGTGGACTTGTTTCTGATCCATAGCAGCGATGGGTGGGATGCTCTAAATGGTCCTGGTCTTGCCTTGCTGAGTGCCCTCAGAGGGTGGTGTGGGGTAACTACTCCTCCCTGAGGCACTCTCTTGTTAAACAAGAGGGGTGATATGTATGTGAGGCCATTGGGAGGCTTAGTGATGAGGCGTGGGTTGCAGTATGCTGCTAACAGACCGCTCTACATCTCCATGTCCACTGACCTGGCCAGAGCTGTCCATTGTGGTGCTCCATGTCTGGGGGAGACTGGCACAGCTATGAGGGCTAACTGGCTGAGACTCCATCCCAGACAAGATGGAGGTGTTGCAGATTGGTTGGGGGAAACAATCGGAAGATAGAACAGGAATAATACTGGCCATTTTGAGGTGTGTCTGCGCCATCAGTGGATCAGGTTTGCAGTCTGGGCTCCGGTAACACTCAGATGCTATTAGAAGAGCAGGTAGCTGCCACAGCAAGATCACCTCTTTCTCCCTCCCCGAAGCATCACATGACTAAGAGATTGAGTCCATTTCCTTTGGATGCAGACCATGCAACTGTTATCCAGACCTTTGTCACTTTGCAAGGTGCTCTCTGGGAGGCTACATCTTAAATCTATCTGGAAACCGCATCTGGTACAGAACTTGCCAGCCTCTGTGTTAAGCAGTATGTATTTCATGGTCATATTAAACTGGATCTCTGATCTGTACTGAGGGCCTGTTGGTTTCTGGGTTGACTTTGTGTTGTTTTAGACATATCAAGCCCTAAAATGGCCTGGCTTTAGTCCCCCTTTAGGCCCCTCCCCATGACATACTACCACAGTTGTGGTTAGTGAAGGCACTTGAGCTAAAGTTTCAGTGGTATAAATGAGAGAGAGTACAGCTGGCAGGTGTTGAGAGAAGAGTGAGGTTGTGGACTCCAGGTTGGCTTTTGTTGGTGGAGTTTATTAAATGTTTGTTAAATCCCTGGTGCTGCTGGCATGGTGCTATTGATGGGTGATTGCCAGAGTCTGCATGGTTGGTATTTTAAGAGTTTACCAAGGGAACTCACTGCTTGGGATTGGTGTTCTTTCCCATACATCCCTAAGTGAAACCCTAATACAACCCTAAATGAAAAAGTGCTTCAAGAGCTCAGAATTCCACCTTACGCCTGCTAGGCAGCGGAGACCAAGGAGTAGGGAATCCTATCGGAAAGGTTTTGAAGAAGCAGATTTGTAGCTCAGTCATTTTCCCATAGTCTTCTGAAAATAGTAAACTGAATAAAATAGCAACCCATTGTTCAGAAGTTGCATCGCTTATCAATATTCAGACCAGGAGTTAAAAGATATTTTATAGTATGAAAATGTAGGACAGAAGAGACATAAGTGAAATGTCACATACAGAAAACCTTGATTTTAATTTTTTATGGTAAGTGTGAAATTGACATTCCATCTGGATATGTTAGAATTACTGTAAGAGGGAGAATGTTAAAAATAAACCTTATTAAATGATAGGAATGGAACTGAATTACTAAAGGAGTTTAAGCAGTAGTTTGCAATTTGTAATTCAGGAGCAGGAAGGGAAGTTCTTATCTGCATCAGTGCAGTCTTAAAATGAAAGCTTAGGAGGACTTTTTGGATTTGGGGAAAACATCAACTTTTTCTCCATACACAAGAAGAGACTCTGCAGGCTGGATCAGTTTTATCCCTACCAAAGCCATGACAGAACATTGTGATTTTTTTGCCACTGGATTAATCTGGCTCTTTTTTGTTCTAGGCAAGCAAACTATGGGCTTTCCACTTCTGACTTATCAGGATCGCTCAGATAATAAACTGTACCGACTTCAGACCCCGCAAAGCCCCTTGGTGCGGCCGTCCATGTACGATTACTATGACATGGACAATTATCCAGTCGGTACCAATGCAATCGTTGCTGTCATCTCCTACACTGGCTATGACATGGAAGATGCAATGGTAAGTCATTGAAAAGGAAATGGAATATACTGCCTTGTCTGTGTCACCTGGGGACTGGCGTGTGAACATCAGTTCTACAACCCACTGGCTATGTTGATTCTCAGTTAAGTCATGAATTAAACATCTGTTTGGGGGTTTTTGCCAATTACTCAATCTTAGTTTGCCACACAGTGGGTGTGCACACACGAGCAAGGAAATGAAAAGCCACCTAATGAAAAGTCTGCTTCTCCACCGACAGGCTGCACCCCACAGTTCAAACTCTGCTGTGGAGTGTCTGGGGAGCAGGTCTCCCCCATGATGTGCTCTTCTCTGCCATTCCCCCCTGGCTCTGCTGCCCAGTCTGCCTTCCTACTGGTCTGGGGAATGCTGAGCGAGGCTGTGCAGCAGGGCCAGAAGGGCAACATCAGAAGGTGGAAGTAGCAGTTGGTAAGAGTTTACTTGCCTGCTTTTGCTGGCGCACAAATTTCCCCGTCTGGTAAAGAAGGGAAAATAAATGATTTTTTCACATTTATGATGTGGGAGCTGTGACTGGCATCGGCCTCATTGTGCTAGGCGCTGGCCTTGCACCATTTGAGAAGTGGGTCGTGTCTGAGCGGTGGCGTGTGGGAAGTGTGTGTGGTGTTTTATGGGACTGTGATTATTGGGGGGGGGAGGGGGGTTGATCATTTAGCTAGAGGGAGGTTTAAAAAAAAAAAAGTGGGTCACAGCAATATGTAAATGCTTCCTCTGCCGAGGTTCAGAAACATCTGTGGGCAGAGGAGGGGGAATATAGAAGCCTCGGGGGAGTGACTGTGTAAAATGGAGAGACTGAAATCAGACATGAAGTGTGTTCATCGTGTTAAAACTGATTGTTTTTGGTAAGTCAGCTTTGAAGCAGCCTCGCTGAAGGGACTCTGGTTTCTTGGGGTGTTTTGTTCAGATTGTAAGTAAGGCTTCGTGGGAGAGAGGATTTGCCCACGGCAGCGTTTACAAGACGGAGAGCATAGATCTTGCTGAAAAAATCAAACAAGGAGATGACAGTCTGGTGTTTGGAGTCAAGCCTGGTGATCCAAGGGTTATACAGAATCTGGACGCTGACGGACTGCCGCACATTGGATCCATACTGCAGTATGGGGACCCTTACTACAGCTACCTGAACCTCAGTACTGGGGAGAGCTTCATAACCTATTACAAGTGAGTTCAGAGCTCAGCTGTCCTGGTTACCGTCTCAAATGTAGAGTTCTGAGAACTGCTCTGATGTGCAGACAGCCCTGTAGGGTTTAGGAGTCCTTTATTCATTCCCTGATCATTCCAGAGAATGAAAGCATCTGTATCTCTTTTTATAAAACAACTCTCGCTGGATGCATGCACTGTAGGGAAGAGTAATTAATATTGCAGATGGATTTCACACCAGTATATTGGCTTTCATCTGAGCCCTGCAAGTGTTGAAAAGTTGCAGATGCTTCTTCACAAAGCCAGGGAAAGACACACACACAAAAGGTGGGCTTATCACAAAGTAAAACTGGAGACAGTTCTGGTGAGGAGAGCTTGTGCATATGAGATTCCTCCCACTCTCCACTACTCCTCCTGCAGCCATTCTGTGTGTAGTATTACACTGCTTTCCTACTCTGTGGCTTCTTTCACGAGAATTTCTTAAGGCACTCTGGGTAAGATTTTTATAGGCGCTTAAGCAACTGAGGAGCCTAAGTTCTGGTGACTTCCGATGAGAGGTGCGTAGGATCTAAGTCACTCTGGAAAATGGGAGCTAGGCTCCTACATCGCTCAGGCAGTTGTTTTCAGTTACCCCATTGCTGGGAGGTAAATGGTATCCCTGTCTTACTCGTGGAGAAACCAAGGCACAGAGTCTGTGGCAGAACTAGGAATAGAACCCACCTGTCATGATACCCTGTCAGTGCGCTAGCTAGACATGTAGGATCAGTGACCTTCCTCTGTGTGGGTGGGTGATGGCCTCCTCCAGCTGTTGATCTTCATGCCCAGAATGTTAAAGGTGACACAAAAAGGATATTTTAAAAATTGGGCTTATAAAAAAAGGCCTAAAAGATGGTGGTTTTGGGGGGAGCGGGCTGGTTCTGCTGTTTGTATTATACCTTAGAAATATCAGGAATCTCAAGGTTTGTCTTCCTTTTTTCCCCTTGGGGATCCCAGAGATATTTGTGAGATTTGACACCTTAAACTAAGGGGACAAAGGTGTTGAATCTTTTAACAAGAACAACCTTCCCTTTACTAAAATATTAGTTGCTGATGTTAAACAGGCATTAACAAAAACAAACATTTTTGAATATTCTGACTAAAAATGGCCTACCCCTTTCAAATCATCAGCTCTCTCTCTCTCTCTGTGGGCGCTTGTGATATCACTGTTTCACTAATTCTCTAGTCCTCTTAATCTGCAGTCAAGACTAGACATGAATCTCTAATGGAAAGGGGAAGAGAGGGCAAAATGAAAAGCCTTTAAAAAAAAAAAAAACACAAATTTCAGGTCTTTATAGTTCATGATGATGTAATAAAAATAAAAAAGGGGCAAAAGTCCACTTTTTCTCATTTGCAGGTCACATTTAAAGTGTAAAGAAACTTACCAGGTATTGAAACTCAGCTTGACCATCAGTTCCCACAGTGCAAAGATTAATTAGTTTTAATTGCTACTTACTCTACATTGTTCATGGTGCATAAATCAAAAATCTTTTAGAAATCCTAGTTTTGATTATTGTATTAGAAATGACTTGAGCAGCCTTTGAGGAACCCGTTTTTCAAGTGTAAAACTTTCTAAAACCAACCCGAATGTAGTTTCGATCTCCATGCTTACAAAATGGCTTCTTCCTTGAGGAAATGCTGAGTTTCCCAAGACAGCCAGTTCATTTCACATAGCTTGGCTGTACTACTTATAAAGTCTCTTTCTAAAAGCAGTTTCCAGGGAAAAGTTCCTGGCACAGAGCTGCCAAGTTAACAACTTTGAAACTTTCATTGACTTTCTTTATTTTCCCCTTCCCAGGAGTAAGGAAAGTTGCATTGTGGATAACATCAAAGTGTGCAGCAATGACAGTGGAAATGGAAAATTTAAAAGTGTTTGCATCACTATGAGAATCCCTCGTAATCCAACTATTGGGGACAAATTTGCCAGCCGACATGGACAGAAGGGTATTTTGAGCAGACTCTGGCCAGTTGAGGACATGCCATTTACAGAGAGTGGAATGGTTCCAGATATTCTCTTCAATCCTCATGGCTTTCCATCCCGAATGACCATTGGAATGCTGATTGAGAGCATGGCAGGGAAGTCTGCAGCATTGCATGGCCTCTGTCACGATGCCACCCCCTTCACGTTTTCGGAGGAGAACTCTGCCTTGGAATACTTTGGCAAGATGTTGAAGGCTGCTGGCTATAACTACTATGGAACAGAGAGGATGTACAGTGGAATCAGTGGGGTGGAACTGGAGGCAGACATTTTTATTGGAGTTGTATACTATCAACGCCTGCGTCACATGGTTTCGGACAAGTTCCAAGTGAGGACGACAGGCGCCAGAGATAAAGTCACCAACCAGCCCATCGGTGGGAGGAATGTCCAGGGTGGGATTCGCTTCGGAGAGATGGAACGCGATGCCTTGTTGGCTCACGGCACGTCCTTCTTGCTGCATGACCGTCTCTTCAACTGTTCCGATCGTTCTGTGGCCCACGTCTGTGTCAAGTGTGGCAGTTTGCTTTCTCCTTTGTTGGAGAAGCCTCCGCCTTCCTGGTCCACGACGCGCAATAGGAAATACTACTGTACTGTGTGCAATCAGAGTGACACAATCGACACTGTTTCTGTGCCTTATGTCTTCCGGTATTTTGTGGCTGAGTTGGCAGCCATGAACATAAAAGTGAAACTCGATGTGAATTAACTGTGGACGTGAATAGCAATTCAAGTACTCTAGGAAAAACTAATTTTTAAATGTCCAGATTTTTCTGTCAGAGGATTTAAAAGGACTATTGACTCGTAGCTTGAAATCCTGCAACAGCTGTGGGATTAGTTTGATTTGTGTACTTAAACTGGGGAGATAATCTGCTAAATTACTTAGCAATCAAATGGAGAAGCGGTACAGATCCCTTAACAGTCACTGTTAGCTCTGTAACAGTCCTCTCTGCTTGTGTTTCATATTAGCCAAAAATCTCTTTATGAAAACTGAGCAGTGCCAATGCTTTATTGGACTAGTGGGTTGGGAATTAAAGCGTTAACTCCTTGTCCCAGATACTGCATCTTGTAACTGTGTGATGGCTGTTCCAGGCGGGGGTGTATCACAGTTGTGCTGAAGAGGTTAAATAAAGTGGAATGTCCTTGAACACTGGAAGATCACCAAAAATCTTTGTTAAAGGAGCAAACGTCATGCCTTAACAGTGTCCCTGTCATGTGCAGCCAGCCAGGAAAAATCATTTCTTTGCCTATTTGAGAAATACATCTGCAATGATTAAAGGGGAAAACACTTGTGATTTGAAGGCACGGCCCAAAGTCAGGGCATGGTAGAGTGGCACTGCTCTAGGAGAGAGCCTGCATCAGAGAGGCACGGTCTGTCATAGTGCCGAGAGTGCAGTCTGCTCCATTCACTGCGGGGAGGAGATTGCCCCATTCTGCCAGCCAGTGTGAAGGGGGCAGGCTCTTGCTAGCCCCAGCCCCAGGGCAGCAGCACAAGTTCTTGCTCACCCCTCAGCAGCCACTTGGGCCATTCACAATCTGGGCTTTAAGTCTGATGACTTCCTGCTATCTCTGCTTCTCTCAGTGTGTGAACAGTTAACACAGACTAGTTACCTTCACTTTGGTTACAGTCAGGTTCTAGTCAGTGTCTCTTCCTGGTTCTCAGTCCTAGCATAATTTGAGCTGCAAACACTGCAGCAGCAACATTTAAGCCTTGTCCCTTGTTTAATTTTATTTTTTATTCCATGGAAACGTGACTCTGGTTTTGTAAAAGTTCATTTTTAACTAACCTAAACTTGTGGCAAAATAAATCTTTTTATATTACGGATGAGAGAAATAGTACTTTATTCAGATCTTGGAAAAATAGTAAAATACCCTGCGGTATTAAATATAAGTAATAACTAAAACAAATTAGGTGTTTTTGCTAAATATTATTGAGCGGTGCTTCAAAAATGTTAGTCAGTTGCAAGTTCATAGTATATTTCTAGCAATTATTGTAAAACTAAAGATGGAAAAATCATTAGTTGTAGCTGCAGCATGGTTTCTGTTTACAGCTGAAATTTGCGACCTCTCGAAAATCCAAGTCCATCTTATGCCAATTCAGGGCCCAGGGTAGAATCTGCTGCACATTGGAGGACATCCTGAAACACTGGTTGCCTCCCCCCAATGATAGGTTTTCAAAATTTCACAATGTTTTACTCCCATCTCTGCACAAAAAAGGTTTTTTTTTCAATGGGGGCAGGCTCCGCTGGACAGCAGAGATACCAGCCCTCCCTGATTTTCCATAATCCTCCCAGTGTTTAAATGTAATTATGACATTGCTTAAATCTACAAATTTTGCAATTACATTTAAAAACCAGAAGGATTGCGTGTGTTGTGTGTCACTCACCTCTCAGGACTGACAAACCCAGAGCTGCCAGCTGCAGCATTGTTCTTCTCCACCGGTGCCCCTGTGCAGATCAGAGTCATCTGCAGCCCAGCCCTATACACGGTGTGTACTATTTTGTCGGCTAGCTGAGGGAGACTCACAGGGTCATGCTGGTGACACCCCCTGATGGGGACCCCGTCTCAGGCCAGTGCTGAACACATGGCTGGCTGCCACAGACGCAATGAGCCAGATACACCAAAAAACCACGTGAAGTGGTTTCCGAAGTGTGTGCGAACAAGTGAGGATGTGGCCAATGTCATGGTCAGACCTGGTCATGGCTACTGATGTTACTAAATGTTACTTCAGCTTGTTACCACTGTTATTACTGTAACATGCACAGAAGTGAATCTGAAATGCACCACAAGCGTTCACGGCGCTACCCCAGGTCCTCTCTCTGTATTTGGCTTTGCACTTTTGCCACTACTCCAAGCAGCCTCCAATAATAAACCAGAGCAGGGCCAGCATTAAACTCGCTGGGGCCCAGGGCAGAAAGGGGCTTGTGCAGGTCATCCGGCCAGCTGGCTGGTGGAGAGGCTAGGGCTGTGCAGGTTGGCCGTGACATCAATGAAAACAAAGTACCAAGCCAGGATTAACACTCACCATGACACGTGCGTGTGCTTGTCGAAGACACCCCCACATCTAGACAGAATTGTTGATCAGCAACAAGTTTCACACTGAGTAAGTAAAACAAAAACAATCAGTTTATGTTTGTACCTATATTATTTTCTTTTGTATACTACAGGTGTGTGTGTTTAGCTGTATAACTATCCATTTAATATAGTTTTTCATCTACTGGATATGCAGAAAAACAGTTGTGGCACAAGTGGGCTGTGGCATTTTTATAGCATGTTGTGGGGGCTCCGAAAGAAAGGTTGAGAACCCCAGCTCTCATGCATTTATATTCTAAACCCCCTGTGAGGCAGGACAGGGCTGTTATGTCCCCATTGGACAGATGGGGGCAGGAACACCCCGGAAGCATCTCTGAATCATTGTCACTGTGGTTTGGTTTTGAGGGGGATTCTAGCTTTTAAGTGACTGGTAGAACGTAGGCCCCTGATGCTCCATCCCCCGTGGTGTTCCCTGCACACCTAGAGGAGAGTCTCTGGGGAGGGAGAAGCCTGTTTAGTTTGTGCTGGTTTGACCAAGAATCCTCCGCAGATGCTGCCAGTCTGTCATTTCACTTGGGTGTGAATGTCCCCATCTGCTGCAAGAGCCAGTTGAGACAGGTCCCGTTGTATCATTTCAGGCAATGAGCAGTATCTTACACGTCCTCTCTGCTCTAGCTGCCACCATCTCCCCAGTCAGAACAGGCTTTAGTCTGAGTGGGGGTCTGCCTTCCCCAGCCTGACACCTAGCAGCTTCTTGTCAGGCACCTTCTGCCCCAAGAAAGGAGGGTTGCTAGGGAGGTGGGGGGGGGGGGAGAAGAGGCCATTAGCCTGTCAGGTTTTTCCCTTAAAAAAACAAACCCGAAAGTCCTGAGTGATAACGAGTGAGCAGCAGGGCCAGGTGCAGCAGCACCAGCGCCAAACAGCTGCTCCTTGTCTGTGGTTGCAGCCAAACCACGTTCAGCACCAGTTCAGCTACCCTGACCGCGGACACTGCAAGTAGTGGCTCTTTGCGGGGTACATCTGGCTGGAGTGTGAATGCTGCATGCTAGACCCAGTTATCCACCGTTAAGGAGAGCAGGTTCGCTGTTCTTACAGCTGTTTCTGGGCTATATCGAGTAACGGCCACTGCCACACCCCACAGTAACCGGGGCGCTGCGCCTGTCGGATGGAGGGGCCTGGTCTCAGGACAGGGCGCCGGGCGTGTCGGACGGAGCGGCCCGGTCTCAGGACCGGGCGCCGGGCGTGTCGGACGGAGCGGCCGGGTCTCAGGACCGGGCGCCGGACGTGT